GGATGCCAGGAGTCTTCATCTGGAGGAGGGGCTTTTTAAACTAAGCACACCCTCCTGCCTGATCTAAGAGCAGATGGATTCCAGGAAGTAAATGTTACATGAATCTCTGCTCTTACTCAACATGGCAATGGGTAGAAGTGCTAGAAAGGCGTTTCTGTTGAGTGATTTCTCAATAATATAAACCAAAGAGACATGGATAGATGGGGGAATTTGCTTTGAATAATTAAAATGAATTAAATGGCACTTTCAGTTTGTGGTGTTCAGATACAGTTGAGTTTTACTTTAAAAAGAAAAAAAAAATCTATTGTTCTTTCTAGTCCATCATCTGTTATAGTCCATCATCTCTTATAGTTATAGTCCATCATCTCATAGTTATAGTCCATGTTCTTTATAGTCCATCATCTCCTATAGTTATAGTCCATCATCTCCTATAGTTATAGTCCATCATCTGTTATAGTCCATCATCTCCTATAGTTATAGTCCATGTTCTTTATAGTCCATCATCTCCTATAGTTATAGTCTATGTTCTTTATAGTCCATCATCTCATAGTTATAGTCCATGTTCTTTATAGTCCATCATCTCATAGTTATAGTCCATGTTCTTTATAGTCCATCATCTCCTATAGTTATAGTCCATCATCTCCTATAGTTATAGTCCATCATCTGTTATAGTCCATCATCTCCTATAGTTATAGTCCATGTTCTTTATAGTCCATCATCTCCTATAGTTATAGTCCATGTTCTTTATAGTCCATCATCTCCTATAGTTATAGTCCATGTTCTTTATAGTCCATCATCTCCTATAGTTATAGTCCCATCATCTCTTATAGTTATAGTCCATGTTCTTTATAGTCCATCATCTCTTATAGTTATAGTCCATGTTCTTTATAGTCCATCATCTCTTATAGTTATAGTCCATGTTCTTTATAGTCCATCATCTCTTATAGTTATAGTCCATGTTCTTTATAGTCCATCATCTCCTATAGTTATAGTCCATGTTCTTTATAGTCCATCATCTCCTATAGTTATAGTCCATCATCTCTTATAGTTATAGTCCAGGTTCTTTATAGTCCATCATCTCTTATAGTTATAGTCCAGGTTCTTTATAGTCCATCATCTCTTATAGTTATAGTCCATGTTCTTTATAGTCCATCATCTCCTATAGTTTATAGTCCATCATCTCTTATAGTTATAGTCCAGGTTCTTTATAGTCCATCATCTCTTATAGTTATAGTCCATGTTCTTTATAGTCCATCATCTCCTATAGTTATAGTCCATCATCTCTTATAGTTATAGTCCAGGTTCTTTATAGTCCATCATCTCTTATAGTTATAGTCCATGTTCTTTATAGTCCATCATCTCTTATAGTTATAGTCCATGTTCTTTATAGTCCATCATCTCTTATAGTTAAGAGTCCATCTGTCACAAGTTAGCCTGCAGTTTGGTTTGTGTTCTTACCTTCTTGCTGCAGTCCTGTTCCTGATCCCTTCTCATGTGTTTGTCTGTGCTCATCTATGGGCGTCATCTGCTGTCCTCTGGGTTTTATTTCCTTCCCTTCCGTCACTTCCTGTCCCGCCTCCTTATATAAGACATGCTCAGACTAGGCCACTTTGCCTGCGCAACTTCTTAGTTGTTGGAGCTCCCATGTGTTTCTGCTGTGAAACCTATATTGTCTACTTGTGTACCGACCCCGGCTTCGTTCCCGACCTTGCTTGTTTTCCGCCTGTCCTGACCTCGGCTTGCCTATTGGATTCCCTTTGTCTTCTCCCGTTATACTCTGCTCCTGCGAGCGGTCTCCTCCACCCACCTCAGCTGGGTGTACCTGGGGGCCGCAACCTGGTCCCAGCCTGCTGAAAGTCCATCCCCACCAACAGGGGCCCTGGTGAACAAGCAGGCTGGGGCTTAGACTCCGTGCCCTGGGGAACCCCAAGTTGAGGATCTATAGAGCTCACTACCACAGGTGCTGACACCATGTTCTTTATAGCCCATCATTTCTACATTCTGTGTGCTTCTCTGATCCCAACTGTGCAAACCATGAACTTGTAGCTCCACCGGAGGGGACAGAATGTCCAAACAGTGGAAATCACTTTTTTTTTTCTCTTTGGATTGGTCGCTGTGTCCTAGCGTTGTGAGGAGCGGCAGCCCAGAGTCAGCTTGGAACCAGGTAGCTTGGTCCTGGCAGACATCTGTTGCAGCCTCTCCACTAATGAGATCACTTAAGAAAAATGGATTTGTCAGTGGCGGGGATGGGGGATGTACTGACCGCGCCGCAATAAACAACGTTCTGCATGACTTTCAGTAAAAAAAAAAATAAATTGTGTGAACAATATTAAGCTGGGGAGTTCATCGGCTTTGCCAGCTTCTGCAGATTTATTGGGCTTTCTCACTCCCCTTAATTAACATGACATTTACATAACAGCAGCTCATTAATTTCAGGCCACAGGCACCCGGGGCTAATTAGTAATGCATTACCCCTTTTGAAACAGGTTGTCAAATTTGTTCTATTATCAACATCATTATCAGCTGAGTGTTAATGATTTTTACCTTTTTTAATTTTTTTTTTTCTGATCCCCTCTTCCCCCAACTACCTGCTGACAACGCCGACCCTTCTGCAAGGCCAACTCTTTATTTCATTTTCTTGGGAGTCCTCTGGGAGTTCAAGCCTCTCCAGAGGAAGAGAAGTCGGTCCAGTCCTCCAGGGAAGGATTGGTTGGCCTGATAAATATTCGCAGTAGATCTGAATATATAATAAGGAGACTACGCTGAAAATGTAAATATGGAAACTACACTCATTGGCCACTTTATTAGGTACACCTTGTTAGTACCGGGTTGGACCCCCTTTTGCCTTCATTCTTCATGGCATAGATTCAACAAGGTGTTGGAAACATTCCTCAGAGGTTTTGGTCCATACTGACATGATAGCGTCACGAAGTGGCTGCAGATTTGTCGGCTGCACATCCATGATGGGAATCTCCCGTTCCACCATTTTCCAAAGGTGCTCTATTGGATGGGGATTTGGTGACTGTGGAGGCCATTGGAGTGCAGTGACCTCATTGTCATGTTCAAGAAACCAGTTTGAGACGATTTGAGCTTTGTGACATGGTGCATTATCCTGCTGGAAGGAGCCATCAGAAGAGGGGGGTTAATTCAGTAACATCCTATTTTAGTTTAGAGTGTCCTCATCAGGACTTTGTGAGCCATATGAACTCGACTGACTTTTTTCAACAATTATTGATAAGCCGAATCCAGCACTTCTAATATTGGTGACTACACCAGCTGGCGTGTGGTGAGGGCCCACCCAAGCCCTCTACAGATATCCCATTATCTGCATAGGCAGCTTTTTGCTAAAGTGAACTATGCCTTGAGAGCTCCAGCACGCCCTATAGACTTCAATGCAAAATTACTCCCCTATAGACTTCAATGCGAAATCACTCCCCTATTGTCCTCAATGCAAAAACATTCCCTAGTGACTTCAAGGCCAAATCTCGTCCCACAGACGTTAATGCAAAATCCTTTTCCGTAGACTTCAATGCAAAATCCTTTCCCTTAGACGTCAATGCAAAATCCTTTCCCTTAGACGTCAATGCAAAATCCTTTCCCTTAGACGTCAATGCAAAATCCTTTCCCTTAGACTTCAATGCAAAATCCTTTCCCTTAGACATCAATGCAAAATCCTTTCCCTTAGACTTCAATGCAAAATCCTTTCCCTTAGACGTCAATGCAAAATCCTTTCCCTTAGACGTCAATGCAAAATCCTTTCCCTTAGACGTCAATGCAAAATCCTTTCCCTTAGACATCATTGCAAAATCCTTTCCCTTAGACATCATTGCAAAATCCTTTCCCTTAGACGTCAATGCAAAATCCTTTCCCTTAGACATCAATGCAAAATCCTTTCCCTTAGACTTCAATGCAAAATCCTTTCCCTTAGACATCATTGCAAAATCCTTTCCCTTAGACTTTTTTCAACCATGAATTATTGATAAGCTGAATCCAGCACTTCTGATATTGGTGACTACACCAGCTGGCATGTGGTGAGGGCCCACCTAAGCCCTCTACAGATATCCCATTATCTGCATAGGCAGCTTTTTGGTAAAGTGAACTATGCCTTGAGAGCTCCAGACCAAAGATCTAAGAGTCCAAAATCTTACCATATTGGTGATGGCTCATAACAAGAAAAGCCAATGTGCTTTGTGGATTCAGGCACAACTAATGGAATTCATCATAGAATGGGGCATGTGAATACCTTCTATTCCAAGAAGGTTTCACTGTGCTACTTCCTTTATTTCTCGTACTCTCCACTCCTCACAAGACCTCCTACTCTCTAGCTCCCTTGTCTCCTCCTCCCATGCTCGTCTCCAGGACTTCTCCAGGGCTTCCCCCATCCTCTGGAACTCCATACCCCAATCCATCAGACTATTGCCTACTCTGCTCACTTTTAGGCACGCTCTGAAAACCTGTCTCTTCAGGGAAGCCTATCCTGCCCTCAGCTAATACTGGAATCCTCTACTCTTCCAATCACTCCATCCCCCACAGTTACTACCTCTTGTACCTCTATCCCCCCCCTCCTAGATTGTAAGCTCCAAGGAGCAGGGCCCTCGAATCCCTCTTGTATTGAATTTGTATTGCTACTGTACTGTCTCCGACCATAATGTAAAGCGCTGAGCAAACTTTCGGCGCTATATACCGTATTTTTCGCTCCATAAGACGCACCTAGGTTTTAGAGGCAGAAAACAGGAAAAAAAATTTCTGAACTAATGGACTGCAAACACAGTACAGGAGATGACCAGAGACTGCGGACAGCACAGGGATGACCAGAGACTGCGGACAGCACAGGGGTTACCAGAGACTGCGGACAGCACAGGGATGACCAGAGACTGCGGACAGTACAGGAGATGACCAGAGACTGCGGACAGTACAGGAGATGACTGCTGACCTTTGGGGAGGGGGGAGCGGGTACCTGAATTTGACAGGTACCCGCTCTTACTTCCGCGGAGTTGTTCTTTGATCTTACCTGTTCCTCTATCCAGCGGCACGCTGGCTACCCGGCTTCTGTAGTGTCGGCGCTCGGCGTGACAGCCGGGTGCCCAGTGCGCATGAGCGAGAAGCACTTGCGCTTTGTGATTGGTCCGGCGGCTTCTGGGATCTGTCATGTGTCCCAGGTACCGCCTTACCATTCACAAAAAGCACCGCTTCTCGCTTTTTGCGCATGCGCACTTGGCACCCAGCTGTCAAGCCGAGCGCCCGCACTACAGAAGCTGGGAAGACAGCGCGCCGCTGGATAGAGGAACAGGTAAGGTCAAAGAACAACTCCGCGGAAGTAAGAGCGGGTACCTGTCAAATTCAGGTCCCCGATCCCCCCCTCCCCAAAGGTCAGCAGTCATCTCCATAAGGTCCCGCTGCAGAGCTGAGCGGCCGGCCCGGTATTCTGACACGGCGGAGGTGGAAATACCAGACCGGCCGCTCCATAAGACGCACTGGCATTTTCCCCCCTTTTTTTGGGGGAAAAAAGTGCGTCTTATAGAGCGAAAAAATACAGTAAATCCTGTATAATAATAATAATAATAATAATATTTCAGATAGAGGGGGGATGGTTAGAAACTTCTTTCTGGTTTATATAGAGTCCTCATTAGGACGATATTTCCTCATATTCCGTCCTGGAGATGGGTACCTTTCCCAATGGACATGCAAACCTGATAAGCATCCAATTCTTCACCGCTCTATCTGAAACAAAAGAAAGATGTTTCTGGAGTTTACTTTCAAACTTCATTGTATGATATAAAGTTGAGTTACTTCCAGCGAAGCCTTTGTCGGGGAACCTCTCACCCTCCCTCGTTTTATCCGCTCTGTTATATCCTAGCTGCGATGGAAGCTTGGTAAGCCGCAGACTGGAGGGCAGAGGTCACCGTCAAAACTTCTTTCCCTCCTGCAGAGTGAAGAAGAAACAGGCAATGTGTGTGCCATTCTTCTAGATCATCGCGGAAATCCGGAAATGGAAATTTTGTGAATATAAAGAGTCTTCGTCTGGAATAATATGGGGCTTCATAAAGGGTGTTTTGGAGGAAGGATGTGGGAGGTCAGGGAGGCGTTCCATGTACACAGCTGCTTTTCTTCAGGTTTCCTTTGGTGGGAATGGTTACAAGGCGTGTGGGCAAGAACTGCGGGGGTCCAAAATGTTCCATAGAGAGAGGAATGACTGAAGGACACTGGTTACAGTATTATAATGTGTTGCAGTTACTAATAAAAGAAAGCCATATATCCCGCTGTCAGCTCCAGGATGCCGTGATGTCTTCTAAAACAAGACATTGATGGCGGGATGGGGAAATGGGATCTTCTAATAAAACGGTCCCATGGCTGGAAGCGGCCAACATAGGAGTCTGCCTCCCCCAGCACAGCTCTAGACCTCACACACAGAGAAGCCTGATGGCCCAGGCATTGCCATGACTGCTAAAATACAGGGACCCTGGCATGATGACAGATCAATAGGGGGAAAGAAAGCAATATTGCTTCATTATTGGCAATCTAGGCTATGCATAGCCCAAGCTGACCAATGAAAACTAACGTGATCTGGTTATAAAAGAGAACTAACGTGATCTATTGGGGGGAAATCTTATAAAGAGAGACTTATGGAGGCTGCCCTTAATAGCATCTTTGAGGGATCTCCCCATAAGAACTATTGGGGGGAAATCTCAGTATCTGTGGGAGGGGCAGAGACACAAACACAACTGAAGAATAATCTCCCCATTGTGGGAGGGGCAGAGACAAACTACTGCTGGGCTGGGAGGGGCAGAGGGTAATCTCCCCATTGTGGGAGGGGCAGAAACACAAACTACAGCAGGAAATCTCCCCATTGTGGGAGGACCAGAGACACAAACTACTGCTGGGTAATCTCCCCATTGTGGGAGGGGCAGAGACAGAAACTACTGTGGGAAATCTCCCCATTGTGGGAGGGGCAGAGACAGAAACACAAACTACTGTGGGAAATCTCCCCATTGTGGGAGAGGAAGAGACACAAACTACTGCTGGGAGATCCCATCATTGTGGGAGGGGCAGAGACACAAACTACTGCAGGAAATCTCACCATTGTGGGAGGGGCAGAGACACAAACTACTGCTGGGAGATCCCATCATTGTGGGGGGGCAGAGACACAAACTACTGCAGGAAATCTCACCATTGTGGGAGGGACAGAGACACAAACTACTGCTGGGAGATCCCATCATTGTGGGAGGGGCAGAGACACAAACTGCTACTGCACAGAAATTGAGTGTCTCTTACTAGATCACATATTAGCTGCTCTGAGAGTGCAAGCAAAGGAGGTAAAAGCAGTTACTATAGACCAGGGGTGTCAAACTGGTGGCCCTCCAGCTGTTGCCAAACTACAAGTCCCATCATGCCTCTGCCTTTGGGAATCATGCATGTGTCAATCTTGCAAGGCCTCATGGGACTTGTAGTTTGGCAACAGCTGGAGGGGCCGCCAGTTTGACACCCGTGCTATAGACTATTAGGCAGGCTGCCATTGCTGACTTCCATTCTCCAAAAAATGTGATGGGATTTAACTCGTGCTCCTCTGGCTTTACTCTGAGTAAATTAGATGCATGCTTGTTGCATGTCAGAAAGCAACTGAGCCACAGACAGCCAGGTAATTAGCATTTTGAGGGTAAATCTATTTATTGGTATAGGTTCTAAATTAACCTGTAGGTCTAGAAGTCAACATTTAGACTGCTCTAGGACAGAACACATGCCTTCAGGATAGAACATCAAGGAGGTCACACCTTCAGGATAAAAGGTCAAGGAGGTCATGCCTTCAGGATAGAATGTCAAGGAGGTCACGCCTTCAGGATAAAGGTCAAGGAGGTCATGCCTTCAGGATAGAATGTCAAGGAGGTCACGCCTTCAGGACAGAATCAAGAACAGGATAGAATGTCAAGGAGGTCAGGCCTTCAGGATAGAATGTCAAGGAGGTCACGCCTTCAGGATAGAACCTCAAGAAGGTCACGCCTTCAGGATAGAATGTCAAGGAGGTCACGCCTTCAGGATAGAATGTCAAGGAGGTCACGCCTTCAGGATAGTCAATGTCACGCCTTTAGAGGTCAAGGAGGTCACGCCTTCAGGATAGAACGTCAAGGAGGTCACGCCTTTAGGATAGAACTTCAAGGAGGTCACGCCTTCAGGATAGAACATCAAGGAGGTCACGCCTTCAGGATAGAAGGTCAAGGAGGTCACGCCTTCAGGATAGAACGTCAAGGAGGTCACGTCTTCAGGATAGAACGTCAAGGAGGTCAACGGCTCCTGAAGTGAGGAGATGGCATAGTCGTCCATGTTTTCCGACCTCCTAATGATAATTCATAGAGTGTCTGTTGGTGAGGCATTCCGAGCAGTCTGATAATTACACAGGTCCTAAGAGCAGATTCTGTACTCCGAACACTGCACAGGATTCATTATATATCAATACAGACTCCATCTGTTATGTCATTATGTCTAGAAAACAATACAAGTCCCTGAGGAGCACCAGAGGAACCTGGAAGATTGCAGTGTAAGTAATCCACTTTACACCATAGACAATACAAGTCCGTGTGCTTTACTGAACGTAGAAGTCCTGTCCAAATTGAAGGTCTTTGGTGGCAGAGCTGTTTTAAATTAGGGTTGCACTGATATATAGGTCACCGAAAATTATTGGCCCAAAATGAAAGAAAAAAAAAAAAAGATGCCGATAATGGCATGCTGGGTTCCATAGACTTCAATGCAAAATCGCGACCTATTGACTTCAATGCAAAATTTCCCCCTAGTTATTCCAAAGCAAAATCGCACCCTATAGATTTCAATGCAAAATCGCTCCCCATAGACTTCAATGCAAAAGCACGCCCTATAGACTTCAATGCGAAATCACTCCCTATAGACTGCAAAGCAAAATTACTCCCCTATAGACTGCAAAGCAAAATTACTCCCCTATAGACTGCAATGCAAAATCACTCCCCTATAGACTTCAATGCAAAATCACTCCCCTATAGACTGCAATGCATATTCACTCCCCTATAGACTTCAATGCAAAATCGTGTCCTATTGTCCTCAATGCAAAAATGTCCCCTAGTGACTTCAAGGCAAAATCTGGTCCCACATACTTTAACTTCTTGCCGACCGCGCATAGCCGAATGACGGCTTCACCGCGGCCGGCCAGTTCTGAGTGGACGTCATATGACGTCCTCCCAGAACGCGCTCTCCTGCGCGCCCCAGGGGGCGCGCACCCGGCGATCTCCGTGATCGCAGTGTCCTACAGACACAGCTGATCACGTGATGTGGTGAAAGGCCAATCCCACCGGCCTTTTACCACGTGATCAGCGGTGTCCAATGACACGCTGATCACAGGGAAATGCAAGTGCCGGTTCTCGGCTGCACTTTCCTCACGCTGTCAGATCGTGAGGAAAGTACTGCCGAGAACCGGCAGTTGTCAGAGCGGGGATCGGCAGCGATCATCAGGGCACTGATGATCAGTGCCCTGATGATCGGTGCCCAGCAGTGACACCCGCAAGTTCCGCCCAGCAGTGCGCCCACTAGCCCCGCCCACCCGTTCCCCGTGCCCCCACCTGTGCCCAGTGCCCCCACCTGTGCCCAGCAGTGCCCCCACCTGTGCCACTCTGCAGTGCCACCTACCTGTGCCCAGAAGTGCCACCTACATGTGCCCAGCAGTGCCACCCACCTGTGCCCACCCACCTGTGCCCACCAGTGCCACCCACCTGTGCCCACCCACCAGTGCTGCCCACCAGTGCCACCCACCAGTGCAGCCCAGCAGTGCTGCCAGTCAGTGCCACCAGTCAGTGCCCAGGGGTTGTGCCAGTCAGTGCCGCCAGTCAGTGCCCAGAAGTGATGCCAGTCAGTGCCGTCTATCAGTACCCATCATCAGTGTCACCTATCAGTGCCGCCTATCAGTGCTGCATATCAGTGCCGCCTATCCGTGACCCCTAATTAGTGCTGTCTATCAGTGCCGCCTATCCGTGCCACCTCATTAGTACTGCCTATCAGTGCCCTTTAGTGCTGCCTATCAGTGCCCATCAGTGCCGCCTATCAGTGCCCATCAGTGCCGCCTCATCAACGCAAATCAGTGAAGGAGAAAAAATACCTGTTTGAAAAATTTTATAAAAGAAACAAATAAACTTTTTTTTTTATTCAAATTTTTTGCACTTTTTTTTTAATTTATAGCGCAAAAAGTAAAGTGCCCAGTGGCGATTAAATACCACCAAAAGAAAGCTCTATTTGTGAGAAAAAAATGATCAAAATTTCATATGGGTACAATGTTGCATGACCGCGCAATTGTCAATCAAAGTGCGGCAGCGCTGAAAGCTGAAAATTGGCCTGGTAAGGAAGGGGGTATAAGTGCCTGGTAGGCAAGTGGTTAATTCCCAAAATCCTTAGACTT